GGAAACCGACTGACGTAACGTACGTGCTTAACGTTCGCGAAATGAGATGCTTTCGCAAACAACCGCCACAGGTCACGTTCCGTACAATTCCGGACATTCCGAGTTTGAGAGAGAACGCGAAAAAAGAAACAATTGATATATCTTTCTCTTTCGTCTAATACATCACGTATAATACGTTATTAATACCATCTACAATCCATTATTAATTTACGTAGAGTTACTTTGTTAGTACAAATATGAGAATGAATTAAAGATTTTTCTTGTGGAGACCTTTAACATGAAAGAATCAATATATGTGATAAGCAATGATGTGATGTGATATGAAATTGGAATATTATGTAAGTTACAGTTAATGACGCAATATTGTGTGCATAATAAATCATCTAGATATTTCAAATTATCTAAGCATAAACAAATATATACAACGTGGTACAATATATAAGAAAAGCTTGAATGGCCAAAAATTATTTAGAGTTACAACAAGTCCACTTGTGAAATTTGATCTCCTTTAAGGACAATGCCAGTACTATGTGCTTGTAAATAACACAAACTCTAAGATGAATGGGAGTCCAGAATGATGCATAGAAATACAAATGTAAGAAAGAATTAATTTTCAAGAAAATCTCGCGGAAAAACAAATGTCGATGACAATTTTTCTCTCGACAATGGTACGAAAGGGAACTATAATAATTGATTTGTCAAAATAAAAAAATACCAACAAAATTAATTTAAAAAATAATTTTATTTCACAAAATATTTTACATGTGAAAAAAAGATATTTTATTGGATATAAAGAATTCTCCATATTTGTAGCGTTAAAAATTTAATTTGGTGAAATTACATCTGTTTCACAACCTCTGTTAAAAACATACGGATTAACAAAATTATTCTCGCAATAAAAATCGGCGGTACACATTGTCGAGTAGAACCGGGAAAATTTAGTAAGCAATTAATTGCGAAAGATCAACAATCGATAGTCGAATCAAAGCACAAGCGGGATTTCTCTGGATCTCAAAGGCTATCTCACAATCCGCGTTTATTTCCAGACCCCCAATCTTTGCCAGCGGTAATCTATTTTTATCGTGGACTCGCGTACGTAAACGTGAACGCTGTCTTTTGAACGGAAAAACAGTAACTTCACGAATAAAAAAAATCTTGACAAGAAAAATAAGCGAAATCTCACTTGTATCTCTCACAAGCCTTTTCTCTGTCATTTTGTTACACAAGTATTTTCACAATGATAACAAATCAATGTAACCGTATCTCCGCATTATCGGTAACTTTACTAATATTTACAGCAAGCAAAATAATAAATTTTTCATAAAAATGTTTAAGAGATATATAAAATAAAATTTTAATTAATATCTCTAAGTAAGTTTTATCATTTAAAGAATTTGTAAGAGAGAAACATGATGATGCAGAAATTACTATAATCGATATAATCTAAAGATTGAGCGATTCAAAATATTTTATCGAAGCGCACTTCGCGTACGCATTGAATAACAGCGATAACGCGATGGTTCTCGCTGATTATCCTGCAGCCATTATCAGATAAGATAACGCAGCTGCGTCTGATATCGGACGGCGCGATAATATATTATATACTCACAAGGGAACCTCGCGAACCCAAAACTTCTGATTTTGGTGAAACTTATCCGAGTATAAAAAATGTTTTCAAAAATCTTTGAAAAAAACTGATTTTTTCTAAATTTTATTAATGTGATTAAATAGAGGAGTGTTCTTACAAAACTTTTGTATAAAACATTTTTTGATATCTCAAATAGTTTTCGAAATATATCGAGAAAGCCGCTCTATATATGAGGAATAATTTCACTCTTTAAAATCGTTTTCGGCAACTGAAAATTTTTTTAATTTATTTATTTATTCCCCTACATGTATATAAAGTTTCATCAAAATCAAAATTTTATTTGCGAGATTTCCTTGTCAGCTGTTTGACGTCCTACGTCATTGCACCGGGTGTCTGGAAAACATTAGGCGGATTCTTGTCGGGTCATTACCCTTGAAGATTTATTATTTGCGGACAATCGAGAAACATTCGTTTCGATTGAAAGCCTTGTGTTTTGGTTTGGGCGATCCTTCGTTTACAGAAGATTTCTACATCGATAAGTCGGATGAAAATTTATAAATACAAAGATTTCATAATCAAATTATTTACCATTATTATCGTAACATTGCACAAGGTGTGAATTCAAACAGAAACTCGCGTGAGAAAAGTATACATCCGCCTAAAAGTGACGCGATCCCAACAACTCGGAGAGTCACACACGTCAACAAAGAGAGAATGGGTAAATATTATTCTCTTTTTACTTCTTCGTGTGGATGTTGGAAGAAAAACCTTGGAGGATTTATATTCCACAAATATAACCGTAAACGCGCTGTTTAAAGGCTGGATGATTAGAAAGTGATCCCGCAGTGTCCAAATAACGGTCGATGAGCAAGGTCACCGTGCCGCTCGCGCGTAGAGTTAGGTCAGGTCAGGTTAGGTCGGGTTAGCTTACGCGACACGCGCGCGGCACATCGTCATCGTCGGTCGTCAATGAGCCCGCGTAATCTCTACCAGCGCGAAAAGTAAGCGGCGCGCGAGCAAGAAAAGAGGGCGCGCTACAGTTATCCCGGTGAAATGTCACGGTGGCAACCGGAGGAGACAACCGGTTTCGTCGCGCGATGCAACGCGACCAGAGACGGAAGAGAAGCGGGGAAGGTGAGCGGCTCGAAAAACCTCGCCAGGGCGAGCGTCACGGGACGCGATAAACGAGGTGGAGACGGTTACGTGAGGGGGGCTGGGGAGAGAAATGAATGCGTGATGCGAACGCACTCACTCGATGTACAGTCGAGTACCATCGAATGATGCGCGCGCAAGGTACGCTCGCGTACTTCAAGTATAAACATCACGATTTTGCACGAGATTTCTGTACGCGTTGAAAGATTTTCGGATGCTGCGAAACGTCACTCGACTTTAGTTCCATCAATTTTAAAAAATCGTGAAATAATATCTCATTAAAATTTCGAGTAATTAAAATGTGCTCCATTTATTCCCTTGTCTATATAAAAAAACAAATTTATTAATTTGATAAAAAAAACTCGTGTATATATATATTTTCACAAGAGTCACGATCCGAAGGAGCGATGTTGGGCGAAGATAATTATGACTGACGTCATTCGCGCGCTTTCCCTCATTATCGGTTCAACGTTCGCGTTCGTAATTCATTAAAGTGCAAACAAAGCAAGTAAATCGCATCGGACGCGACTTTACATCACCTCGTGACGTGTGAAAAGAATCGCGCGCGAAGAATCATCGACGGCGACCGCGGCCAATACTCATATCGTCGTCGCTACTTCGCGAAGCGATCTGTCACTTCGATTGTCATCTCGCGGCCTATCTCGCGTTTAACGCAACGTCTCAGTTCTAAAACGCGGTGAGCTTCGCGGCCACGAGCGGGATTCGTTCGTTATATTGAACGAGAGCGGCACACGACGGTCTCATTCATCGAGTATAAATACAACGACGACGACAGCGGCGGCGGTAGCAGCGGTAGCGTGACGTCACCCTGATTGGACACGTCACGGCATGGCAACTGAATGTATCTTTTGGTCGTCCCATCACGTGCTCGACGTACGTCTCTTTGTACGCGTTCGGACGCCGATTGAAGGCGAGGAGAGGGACGGATAGCCGAGGGGAAGGCGGGGGGAGGGGTGACGGAGAGGAAGGATAAAAGAGAAAGAGCGGAGCGAGGAAGGACGTTAGCTTCGTTTTAGCGCGATCTCCCGAGCTATACGTATGTCATCGTCGTCGTCGTATGTCGCGTCGATCCATACACACGCGTGTGCGTGCGTTGCCTTCTCGCGCCAGATGGCCACGAATGATATAGCTGTTGTGCAGCCGCGCGCCCAGCCCTCCTCTCTCCTCGACTATTTATAGTAACGACCGATAAAAAAACGCCGCCCGCTAAAAAAAATTACGTCGACCTAGCTACCGTGCACGTCGTGTATACGGTTGCGGATTGCTCGGGACATTTTTTCTCTCGTAACGCGCGAGCTTCCGTGAATCGATTTTTAAAGAGAAAGGCACGATAAGTGTTATAGGAAAAAAGAAAATACCGATGTAAAACGTTTCTATTATGGTGAATATGTGTCGTATATTCAACTGCCGATTCTGTGATTTATTATTACTAGGTGTGAAATAACTCTGCAGAATTTATTTCGGACGTAATAAAAAGTAACCTTGACCAACTTTGGCTATGCCTAAAAAGAAAGACTGGGTCGCAATTTATGATTCTCGTCGGAATTACGATACGATCCCTGGAGAGATTACAGTTACACGTTGGCGAAAACAATGACGGAACGCTCGACAAAACTCGCATTTTATACTTCTATCGAGCATCCTCAATTATATATTTGTTTATTCGATTCGTTTTAAAATGTCGATTACTGAAAAATTCGATTTTCGAACGACTTCTTAATCGTTGGTCAATTATGGTAACATGACTAATGATTAATGATTCTGTATTATGAATGAAAAAGTCGTGAATGAATTATATCTCGTATCTATCTTAATACGAAGAATCCGACTTTCTCACGCAGTCTTTAATAAATTGTATTTTAAGATATACCCTATACAATAAGAGCGAAAGTGGTAAAAAGATTATCGCTTGTAAACACGGCATAAATTTGCAAAGATAATTATGTAAAAACGTTCTCTGAATTTTGTCATCCATTTTGTACATTATGTATCTCGCATTTGGGATAAAAACTTGTGTGAAATTCACGTAGAAAATTTAAAGTCGCTCGTTAATCCAATCGGCAAAACAATAGTATAAACTGATATAACACAAAGACAAAGCGCGTTTAATTCCGCTAATAAATGCATCGATATACTCGATTGTTTTCGCCTCGTCAAGTACCCAGAAAACGCTACGCGGAAAATTCTGGAAGGAACGATGGCGATTCGCGAGTAGCCACGATCGAGAGAGGCGACCTACCATCATGTATTGCGCGAGTGAGCGCGAGCGTGTCCCAGAAGCAGGGAAACTCACCGTTGGCCTTGAAGGTGGTGGCCGTCTCGAAACTGGGCGCTCTCACCGGATGCTTCTCCTTGTTTCTGTCCGGGATGTAGCTGACGGCGAGGCTTACGGCCGGCATGGAGTCGCCGCGGGTCAATGGCGGCCTGACCGGGTGCTGTTCCTCCAATGACAGCCTCTTCTCGGTATGCTCGTCCTCGTCGATGGCCGAGATGCCGCGCTTGAGCTGGGTGATGCCGCGATTGTGGCTGAGGTTCACGTGATGCGCCACCGCGGCCAGATGGGCGTTGGGCAAACGCACATTGTTGCTCCTCATGCCGTTGGCCATCTCATGGCCAGGCTCCTCGCCGCCGTGTTGACGGCTGATCTGCTGCTGTTGCTGCTGCTGTTGGGCAGCCGCGGCCGCGGCCGTGCCAGAGTTGAACTCGGTGATGGAGTTGCGATGGTGCAGCTGCGAGTAACCGGCGATGTTGTGGTGACGCGAGTGTGTCTGTCCGGTATTCTGAATCGGTAGAACGTCGAGATTGGTACCGCCGTTGTGCTCTGTGTGACCGGCTGCGGTACGATAGGTCTTTGAGGCGGACGGTCTGGCGTCCTGGAAACCGTACGCCTTCTTCAGCTGCTTGGCCGACTCGAGCACGAGGTCGATGCGGTCGGCGCCCTCGTAGTTGACGCAGCCGCGGCACACCGGTTCCGAAAAGTCCATTATCATGGCCCAGGGCATCCTGGGCAAATCGCACAGGTAACACTGCGTTCGCTTGCCCATCATCTTGCCCCCGAACGAACCGCCGCTGCTCGCACGCTGATGACGGAGACCGCGATCGTCGTCGTCCACTCTGCGTCGTTCCATAGCTTTATCACTTCACATCCACCGTTTGATCTCTCGGTATGTGTAATATAACCCGGGGGCGCTCTATATCGTTTATTTAACCGCGAGAAATGTATCTTTTGCGCTCTTACGTATCGTCGGCCCAGAGTACACACCTCGCTCTATTTCCTCCTCTTCTCGTTCAACCACAATACCACGACTCTCGCCGTATATTCCTCCGCCACACAACGCGCGTATCGTCGCGCTCTCTCTCTCTCTCTCTCTCTTTCTCTCTCTATTCTCTCGCTTCTTCCGCTCGGATCACTCTGCCACGCGAAGCGAGGATAGATTCCGACCGTGCAAAATACGAGCCTCCGCCGCACTGCTCGTCTGAGAAATAATCGCCGCTCGAAATAACGACGACGATAACGTCAATTGCCTCTCGTCTCGCGCGCGCTCCGTCACCGCGGCTCGCGGGCACATGAGCCGCGAGAGGACGAACGGCGGAAGCGACACTTGATCGGGCGCTTCGATTCGATGAAACGATCGGAAAGCCGTATGGCGGGAATCCGCGGAGAGTACACTCGCGAAGGACGCGCCTTTTGTCTAACGTACTGGAGAGACGCCGTGAGCGAGATCTATGTATCACTGATCCGTCCCGCAAACACCGGGAAAGGAAGCGAGCGAGCACCGATGCACGATGGCCGTCGTCGTCGTCGTCGTCGTCGTCGTCGTCGTCGTCGTCGTCGTCGTCGTCGTCGTCGTCGTCGTCGTCGTCGTCGTCGTCGTCGTCGTCGTCGTCGTCGTCGTCGTCGTCGTCGTCGTCGTCGTCGTCGTCGTCGTCGTCGTCGTCGTCGTCGTCGTCGTCGTCGTCGTCGTCGTCGTCGCGTAATAATAACGCGTATAATAACTCTTCCTCTCAGTTTCTTCACCGCTTCGAGCGAAACCGTACACGAGAACGAAACACGCGAAACCGACCGATACGGATGTGCGCGCGCGACAGGACGTACGCTCGTCCGTCTGGCTGGCTGGCGTACGAAGTGACGAACGTTCGGAGAATGCGGCGGTAAAACCGAGGCTACGCGACCGTCGTTCCCTCCTCCCGATCTAGTATCTCGTCTCCCTCGATACGGTACTTTTCCCTATCTCCCTCTCTCTCTCTCACGGGCGCCCGTCGTTTCGCATTTGTTCGGCTGCGCTCGGCTCTACGCGCTCGATTCCCCGTCCCTCCCTCCTCTCCCTCATCGCCGATCCCCGCTGTCGTCGTCCTTCTCTCTCTCTCTCTCTCTCTCTCTCTCTCTCCTTCTTTCTCTCTCACGCTCGTCTTCCCCTCGCCCATACCGAGCCATTGCCAAGTCGTCCCTCCCTCTCCTCTTCACCTTCCCCCGCGGAAACAGCTACGACGACGCGGCAGCGGCGACGACGACGACGACGACGACGGCAACGACGCGCTCGGCCAATCGGGCGTTGTGGCGTCATGGTGCATGACGTCATAATGGCAAAGCTGCGCATGCGCGCTACGGAATGCCCTAGGGGGACACGTAGGCAGCGACCGGGATTCAAAGTGCGAAACACGAGATGGGGAGGTGGGGGACGGGAACTCAGGGAGTCTGCATACTGTGTGCGCGCGCGCGCGCTCACGTTTACATCAACCCGGCGCCCACTCTTCATAAAAGCAGCCGGTTTTACACTCGCGAAAATGCCAAGAACGGCCGAGTCTATCACGAGAGAACGGTATTCCGTGCTGCATTAACGATATTCCTCAATATCCGAATTATTTAAAAAAATGTCGCGATGATAACGTCGATATCGAATTGAAATCTAAATTTTTGCAATTATCGTGAGCGGTGCTTTTGCTTTTCAATGAATAAATTTAAGCAAGCAGTCGAGAAATTTGTAATTGGCAAATTACAGAATGCCACTATTCGAATTGCATGTAAAATATAAATAAATAAATTTCCGGATAAAATGCCGAGAATATTAAACAATTTTTCATAGATGATTATTTTTAGTAATAACTGAAATATAATGGCATCATCAAATGGAGCTGTCATTGCTTATATATTGAAATATTTTTGTATAGAGAAAAAAATTTATATATATTATTTTTCAGCTGTAGTGTTATTCCTACATAAATTCTCTCTCTCTCTCTCTTTTCGAAAATACAGATTTTTATATTTGATTCACAAGAGAAGTTTAAGTTAAAGAAAAATTTATCTCCTATTTGCATCATGACTTAGTATCACTTGGCACTTCATTACGTAAAAATTTGACGAAAAGCTCGTCGCGAACGTGTCTTTCCGTCTCCTTCCGCTCTAATCTCTGTGGCATAAACAATGATCGTTATTATCGCAGCACCCGCTGAGTCGACGGCGCGCGAATGGCGCGTTATTTTATCGGTTTTTCTTAGCGATAACACGGCCAACGATACCGGTCGATAGGAACACCGAGGTGTAGGTGCGCGAATGTATTATCGCCAGTGTTATCGAGACGAAACGACATATGCGCTAAGAGCTATGTCAACCTCTCAGTTTGAGCAGTTCAGTTTTGAAAAATGCTACGTAAGCATTCTAACACTAGCTTTGTTTCTACACTGCATCGCGATTCGTAATTACGATGTAATTTGTAATAATTATAACATCTAACTAATTTATATATAACAATAAATTCTGATGCATGAATTCAATTTCGACACACGCATGCATCGCTACAAAAAAATTTCTAAACTTAACTATCACTTTCTTTCTAACAAAGTGTTTCTGCTGAGATATCTCGTCTGGCTGAGGTCTGATAATAATTTATATAACCCGTAATGGCGTATTTCGTAATCGTTGCTATATTAAAGACCGCGAGACATTTATATCGGAATAAACTGTTTCGGAGCCAAAGTGAGTGATGGGAGATATGTTTACGTCTCCGTTATTTACATAACATTGATAATACGCGAACGCTTACATCATATCTCGAATCATTATACGCTCGTTAATAACACCGGGAATGTTCGCTAACGACGAGGATTGCGGCAATGGTCGATTACGTTGATTGTTATGTCGGCCCCTCGATGTTGCGTGCACGAATGAAAGAGAAAAAACGAAAACGAGCGCGGCATTAACACGGTGACGTCACGTGCAATTTGGCAAATATTGTCGTGTCGTGACCGTATGTCGTGTATGTATAAATTTCTCGCGAAGCTGCGCCGCATCAACCGTCGCGCGAATGACATCAGTCTGACATCATAGTGTATACAGCACGAGATCGCAACGTGAACTCTTCTTAAAGCGAGGGAGAATGATCTTTGCCTCGACCATGGCGGGGACAAGGAGAGTATAATTAGACGAACCGGCTTATCAATTGGCTTATTCGTCGTCGTCTCTACGCTCGTATCCAGGAAAACAAACGTCTCTTGCGTGCGGCTGTTTACTCGTATATCAAACACGTATTCGTGATAGAAAATTAAATTCGCAAAAATCGATTCTCTCTTTCTCTTATATTAAATAATAATATAATATATATATATATTTTATCTTTCTCCTCAAAGATGTGTCAATTAATCAAAGGAAGAAACCGTCATCATCTCTAAGATGCGCCTACGTGGAATAACAGATATAATAAATTATGTAACAGATTGATCAATTTTTAGAAAAAAATTGAATAATATCTTCGCGTAATAAATAACTGTAATCAAAATACGCGCGATCGTATATCCCGACGGTTTTGAAGGCCGTTATCACGTTTCGACTCGTAATCGGGTTTCATCTTGCGGAAGACCGATAACGAGGCAGCCGAAGAAGACTGATTCGGAGCTCTCTCACACGGCGCAAACACGCGTCGACGAATAAATCGAACAGACGCCGGAGCGATTGGTAAATTTGGCCTGACCTCTCTGGATAACTCGGCCACGTGCCGTCTGTATATTACGGTGTGCAGGGGGACGAAATGCGCTAAATATTATTTATCGAGTCGGGACCAAGAATACACACCCCGACGACGAGATAACGAAGATAGTTCACCGATTGACTGGCCGGCCGCTCCTTCGCGAGCAAGGAATAGGCGTAATAAAACATTGCAACGACGACCCAATAATAAGTATTATCAGTGCTTTCCGATGTATGTACATAAATCAGTCAAATGCTTTCGCACTCGGTTTAAAAAAAAAAAAACCTCGTGAATCATATA